CTTTTTACACTTATTCCAACCAGGGTCTGAAACTCAAACATGGAGCAATAACGTGATGTACATGATTTGTTTTACTTTACAACAGCTCACAAACACAAACAGGCTCAAACATGCAACAGTGTCAGAGCGTCACCAACACGCCTCCGTGCTACGACCGACGCAGCAAAGGGTTGGAGGACCGTAAACGCATCCATCACAACAAACTGAAATCTGGATTCCTCCAAGTCTGGCTTCCAACTTTTATTTCCAGGTCAGGGATCACCCCACACTCGGGTTACGTCCATGACAAGTTCACTTTTTTAGCACAGCGTTATAAAATGTGCACGGTCTGTGAGCTCGTTACAGAGGAGCTCCTCCAGAACTTCAGCTCAGTGTGGATGAGCCTGACAGAGCTGGGCGATGGAACGATAACGATGTGTATCACGAAATAACTTTTTCTCGATAGAAAAGTTTAACTATTGCGATAGATCTCACCGCTCTTGTCCTCTTAACAAAAAAGTGCTTGCTCCAACGTCAGACTGATGAGCCTGTGAGTTCTTGATATGCTGATTAATAAACTTTCTGACAGTCGTAGGTTCTCAAACAGACCAGATGCTGAACGGCACAAAAAGACAGAACAGCACCTGCACCAAGCTGGAAAAGGGAAACCAAGTGATTGTGCAGGTGCTGTTTGTAAGGTCGGAAACCTGCAGTCAGCTGAGACTGAAGGAGTCACCTGGATGAAGAAACGTTTCTCCAGATGGACACAACCAACTTCCTGGTCCTCCTGTTCAGGTGACGTCTGCTCTGAGTGCTGAACTTCAGATTCACCACACTACCACTACCATCAATGTATTTTCACTTAAACAAGCAGCTGTTTTATCTGCATTAAAGTTATATAAAAGTTTAACAGTGCAAATGCAAATTCCTCGCTGACAGTTTAACTAAAAGGCATTTCCAGTGGAAACTGGCCGACATATCCTCAGCATAACCATGTTTAATATCCACAACACTTAAAAAAAGGTTATACACACACAATACGGTAATATTATGTTGAAGCACAGTACGTATCACTCCGCGAGGCTCCGCCTACGATCGCCGTAATGCTCCGACAATCCATCAAGCGGCTTCGTAGCTTAGCAAAGTCGCACTGAAACGTTTTTGACAGATTTTTGAGTGCCGTGTACATAAAATCGGGTTGCTAATAACGACGGCCCGCTAGCATGCTTTGTTGTGTATCTGACGGACGAAAGCTAAACCAGTTCCACATCACTGAAGTTGCAGCATTTTCACAAACCCATCCTGGTTCATCTGTTTCATTCAACGATCCGCGTTCGCCCTTCTTCTTCTTATTATTCTGCGTCACCGCCATGCTTTTTCCGCTGTGTGCGTATGTAAACAAAGGCACTGCGCATGCGCGTTTCACCCATATTCTATCGCCATATTTCATTTTCCTATCGTTGCCCAACATTACACCAATGAAAGCTATGATATGGCCCAGCCCTACCTCCAACTACGTCTCATGGTCTTCATTACATTCAACAGGAAAACTTCACCTGTTACTGTCTTCTGTGTACACCTACTGTGAGCAAAGGTTGGAGAGATTTGGGTGAAAGACTTCCACTGAAAGTCAATATCTTAGTCATTATTATTAAACACAAACATGT